GTTGAGCACGCTGAGCTTGAGCTTGGTTAACCCGCACGCAGTTGCCTTGGAATGCAACTTGTCCACTATAATGTGTCTACGATGCAACTCGACTTTTGTTGTGTGCCAGTAGCTGGTGCCTCGATGCTTGAACTTCACTTGCACCTTGATGTCGCTTCATCCGCAGTTGCTGATGACACTTGAGCTCGACCATGAATCGCCCTCGACCATGCTTACCAGGACAGTTGCTCGGCGTGCTTCGAGTTGCAGGTACCAGATGCCGTACCTTGAACAGCTTCAAGTTGTCAGCGTGGGTGACTCGAGCCTCGATAGGCCTTGGTCAACCCAATGATGTCCAACGACGGTCGGTGTGACGGTCTGACAGGACAGTGTAGACACATGAATATGAATATCGTCTGGAATCTCGACAGCAATCAAGTAGTCGGACCCGGTGCCAGATGCCCGCCGGGACAAGCTGGGCTCGAGCTTCTTGTAGGCCTTGAACTTGTTGGAGCTGCGCACGACCTTCACGTGAGTGACTGGATGCATGCCACTCAATTGATAACAACTCACTGGATAGCCCATCCGCTGTTGAAGTGACAACAATCACGTTAGAAACGGTGTACAAAACAAGAGCGAGTGTGCAAATTGAGTGGCACTACAGTAGATAATAGGCACTCACTCACCCGATGGACAAAAACAGGAATGACTACCGAGGTGCCGCTGACGAATTGCTGCCAATGAACACTTGCCCGCTGGCAGCAATTCGATGCGCTTGTGGTCTCCGACGCAGATTCGCGAATGAAGCTGAAAAGCAAACAGCGGACGCGGCCAGCCAGTGGTTGGTGGCTGAGCTACTTGCGCAAGTAAACAGTCAGCCGGCATCCCATCCGCGGTTCGTGCGCTCGACACTGTCCATCGAGAGCTCGTGCTTGCCAAATTACTCACTGTGGCGGGATCACTCCGTCGCCTTATAATTATGAGGGTGTGTTTTTTCATACGTTATTGCAGTAAACAGGGAGCTATGAGGTAGAATGATCGTGATATTGAGGGGAACGCAAATAAGAATTATCAGCATACACAGATTAGGTCCAGATGCAAAATACCCATCCGGGTTTGTATCTCCAAAAATTCTTTGCATCAGTGTACCAATTCGCTGGTACCAGCTTGCTCACCGCCAAATGTGGGTATCCTCTCCAAGTTGAAGCTTTCAATACTGGCCCCTATCAAACTTGCTGTAACGTTATGGTAAAGGAAGATTGAACAAGCATCTACACAGCAATCACTTCCAAGCAAGGCCATGTGCAATTTGATTCCTACGCAAAACCGCTCTCATTATAATAGATACACTCTATGTTGTTTATAATCCAATCGACTGGTAATACTCGTCGCACCATGCGTACAACAGCAGCATCTCCAGTGTGCATTTATCTACTGCAGCTGCCGTATTGCTTGCCCCACAAGACGATGCCCATTGTGTCCTGTACGCCGAGTTCTCTTGTCTCCACGCACATGCTCTGATCCGTTGACTCTTTCGACGATCTTGAGGGAAATCCTCATCTAGCTGAGCCAGTTCCAGACTCCAGAGATCGTCCAGCAGCGTCGTGTCATCTTGGCCGCCGAACAGGAATACACGCGGCACCTTACTACCTGGCAGTGAGGAAACAAAGGCGCTAGCAGCCCAGTACCGAGGCACAGGACGCTGTTCGTCAAGAGCGCTCTCATCCTCTCCAGATGCAGTAGCGACAGCTCTCCATCCGTCGATCAGATCTTCGAGACGCTTCAAACGAACGTCCAGTTGCGACTCGAGGCGAGAAGCTGCCATCGCCGTCCTGGACCCGAGAGACGCTCGTCGAGGAGACTTGAGTCCACGCCCGACAGCCATCAACTCAAACGGAGTCAGCAACGTTGCCCGTCCTGCATGAACTCTCCTCTCAGCGATACTGGGGCTCTCTCTGTCGGTCAGAGACGCAAGTTGCGTCCATCGAGCAGTTGGCGCGACACCGAGCGCCACACTGCGGGTATAATCCAGTCGATACAAGTCGCTCAGCTCCGAGCCAGTACCTCCCGCTGTGCCTCCGAAGATGAACATACTGCTCCCGACTACGACAACCGAGTGCTGGAACCGCGCGGTCGGGGCCGTTCCCGTTGCTATGGACGACAGATTCGTCCACGTGAAGGCAGGAACGCAAGGCGCAACGTCGAAAGTGACGTCCCACGAGTCCAGGGTCCCGACAAAGCCGTCCGCTGCAGTGTCAGTCAACTCAAGCGTCCAGTTCCCGGCAACAGGCAGCTGATGGAAGACCGAGAGCGCTTCGAGACTAGACGTCGACACGAACTGCAGTTTCTCCGTTCTTGGGACGCATTCACTCTTATCTGCAGCTTCGTCGGGACTACGTAGCAACACAGGGAACGCTCTGGCATTCGGCGCAGTGCCAGTCGCTCTCTTGTCTCCTTGTAGGCTCCTCAGTCCTTGACTATCGCTCCACGTCGTCTCTCGAGCTTGTGAATCAACAGGAAAGTGAGCACTCTGCTGTCGACCTGGAAACGTTGCAGGTCCGGGGCCAAACACCTGCAAGCCAAGTGTGTGCGGACACGCGTGTGTTATCTGCACACTCACAGACACGTTGACAACGCAGAGTTGCTCTCCACCAGCACTACCACTCTTCCTCCCAAGCGCAAAGACTTGTCCTCCATCCGGAATAGACAAAGCCGATGGCTGACGAGAATCCAGCGACACTGACGTCTGTTTCGCTGTACTGGAGGAGACTGACAGCTCCCACAGATCATTCAGGGCTCGAGGTCCCCACGTCGAGGCGTCATTTGCGTCCGACACGTCGTTCTGCCGTCCTCCGAACAGAATCAAGCGGTCATTCACCACTGCCATCGAGTGTTTCTCTCTTGGAGAAGGTACCAACGCTGGCGGAGGCACAGACCACCACGTCTCCGTGCGCAGATCATATCGCCAGAAATCGTTGGACACTGATCGTGGACTCGGCTGTAATAAACACGGCACTTTGTGTGATCGGCTGCACTCGTAGCTCTTCGCCATTCCTCCAAAGATGTACAGAAAATTGTCCAGCAATGTGAGGGAATGTCCTCGTCTAGCAGACGGAAATCGCTGCAAGGGAGGAGTGTTGGTGACGCGCATTCCTGCTCTCGTGTTCTCCTCGTCTACAGTTCGAGTGACGCAACGTTTCCACGTATTCCTCGGCTTCGTAGGCATACGCCGCGTAACGACATCACTGAAAGTGCCACGTCCATCGAGCAGCAAAGCTTTCACTCGAAAGCGGTACGCAGCCGTCGGCGTAAGACCGTGGAGGGTGAGAGTACCGCTCTTCTCCGTGACATCGGTGGCCGGAAGAGTGACCAAACGTACAAGACGAAAGTCCTCATTGACGGAGCGATTGGCCATCTCGATCACGAATCCTTCCACGAGCTGGGAGAAGCCAAAACGAGGAGCTTTCCAGCTCACTTTGACGCTCGAGGATGTCAGTGGAGTCACTTGGAGCTTGTCTACGGTCTCGTCACTCACTCGTGCTCGCAGACTAGCGTCACTAATCCCAGATTTGGACGAATTAAACAGGTCTCTAAAGGAGACGAAGCTGCTGCCTCCACCGCCTCCAGCTCCGTCAACACCTGCGCCTCCTCCTCCGCCACCGAAGAACCCTCCACCTCCGCCTCCACCCGCTTGTTTGCCACTCTGTCCACTTCCGCCACTTCCATTTCGACCATTCGAAGGCCAATGCGATGCTGTCAACGGAGACACGGCGACGTCCACCAGAGATGTCTGCGGGTTCAACAGACACGTGCCTTCAAGAGAATAGCGATAGGAACCTGCAGCCCCCGCCACACCTGCCGTTGTTGGCGTGGCGCCTGTGCCTCCAGTTGCTAGAACGGAGTAGTCTGCACTACTCGCAGCAAAGCCCCAGTCGAGGTGTCCATGTCTCGCTGAGAGTCCCTCGAAGTCTCTCGTGTCTCCCGGTACATTCGAGGAATGATATTCGTCTCTAGCTGCTTGTCCAGTCACACGTGAGTCGAGTGGGATCGTTGTCGCATCCGGTGCAAGACCAGACTCTGCTTCATCCAAGCCACCGCCGCCTCCTCCATGGGCACAACAGTAATCCGTCGAGCCCGCACCGCCACCTCCAGCAGCTACGACGGCTGTTCGTCCATTCACGCGCACTTCAGACGCGCCACCGCCCCCGCCGCCTGGGAAATCGCCTGTGCCGCCGTTTCCACCGCCGTTGAACCCACCCCGACCGTCTTGAAGGCCTCCACCGCCAACTAAAATGTCCACAGCATCACCGGCACTGACACGGAAAACTCCACGTGCAAAGGCGCCTCCTCCGCCGTTACTCAAGTCGCTTGAAGCTCCGTTTGACGACCTCGCACCAGCTCTCCCAGCGCCCCAGGCGTAGACATCAAGAGCAACAATTCGATGCGCAAGATGAGGAGCAGACTGGTCAATTGGAACTCGATAGGTCTGGACACTTCCCGTGTAGAAGAAGGAATGTTCCGCCAGTCTTTCGCCCGACCACGTGACTGGAAAGACAAGAACAGCTCCGTGCTCGCCAGGTTTGGCTTCATCGCCACTGGTAGAGCCGCCACTGCCGCCGTTCCCAGTCAACTGGACGTAGTACCAGTCCTGTGTGTTAGCGCATTGCTGACGAGCTGCAGCGATCACCACTTGGCGTGTTCCAAGGGTTAAATCCTTGACGTTGTCGCTGTTCGAGTCGTCTTCAACCGTGTAATCTGTCAGGAACTCTGCGGACTGGGAGAAGCTACCAGCTTGCCGTTCAGCCACCGCTCTGACGCGCGTGACGTACGTGGTGTATCCTTTCAGCGACGTCATTGAGATGTTGGCGAGTCGACTGCTGCAGTCCACCAGCTCAGCTGGCAATCGCGTCCACGTCGAGCCGAGAGTTGTGCGGTATTCCACATCGTAGGTTAGCTCTTCCAGTGCATGACCGCCCAGCACCTCAGGTGTGTTCCAGACCACAGTAAGCGGGTCTCGAGCTACCCGTAAGTTCGCCACAGCACCCGGAGCTGTTTGCAATGTTGTGAATTTGGCTGAAGGCAAACTGAAAGGTCCTTGGCCGTTGGCATTCGTCGCAGCAACTCGAAACTCGCAGGTGGAACCTGGCGGACGATCCAAGGACGCAACAACAGTTACAAAGGTGTCACTGTTGCCACTAAACCCCGGCGGTATACGCTCACTGATCGTAGTCCAGCCGATCTCACTGTCGCATTGTTGCTGAGCCTGGAAGCTGGTGACGGGGGAAGAATTCCCTAGCAAAGATGCCATTTTCCTGCGTGAGTTCTCGACGCATACGCCACGAGATCGTGACATGAGAAGTCGTTGCCGCTAGTAGCTCGGGGGGTTGAAGGAGCTCGCGGTACTGGTGTCGCTGGGATCTCCAGTGGTTCACTACGTGCACTCCATGAACTCCAGCCAATAGCGTACGAATACTGCGCTCGAACACGGAAGCTGAAGGCTCGACCAGTCTGCAGTCCCGTGACTTGGTAGCTGCATTCATCCGAGCAAATACGTCGATGTCGACCAGGAGAACTCGGAGCCATGCGCAGATACTGAACAGCTACTTGGTCTCCGTCTCCAGTCCACTGAGCTGACACCGTCTCTGTATACAGCGACAGCAACGGCAGCGGATCTTCGCCGTCGTACGCCACGAGATCAAAGAGAATGATCCACTCGAACGCTCCATCAGCGTCCAGCGCATTCCTCTCCACCTGCACCTGTGTGACCTGCTCCAGAGACTCGATCGCTGTCTTCATGGCGTCTGCACTGGCGTCAAAAGCGATCGGAGGCGTCACCACACCAGCAGTAGCTCGTCCGCCCAGGATACTCGGACTGGAGCCTTCATACGACAAACCAAGTCGGAAATACCCATCGTTGATGGACTCGCCATCGTCTGCACGAGTGAAAATACGCTGCTTGGGCACGTGTTCCGTGGCTTGAGCACCCAAGTCGACGCGAAATCCGGTCAGTGAATCCCCCAGCGACTGCCAGACGCCTGACCCAGACACTGCGTACTGAACTTCGTAGGCTTCGACACTAGCAGTACCGCCAGAGGCCTCGAGCGCATTGTCCAAGGCTGACCAGGAGACTAACGCATCGGCAGAGCCTGGATTCCCAGGTGCCACACGTTGCAGCTCTGCGTAGACTTGTCGATTCACCTGGACTAGTGCCGCTGGGACATCAACGAACAGTGCCGACACCAACCAGACGCGTATCCAACGCATTTAACAGCTCGACTATTGCGACTCTTGCAAAGATCCTTTTGCGATAACGGTTAACGTTTTTAGCTGTCACAGTTAGTTGCAACTTTAACGCTGCTCTAATGCGGCGATCGCAAGTTTCTCAAAGTCCTCGAGGCAGTTATAAACGTGAGCAGACAGACGAACGTACAGTCGACCATCAATGGATTTGACAGGCACTTCGATGTTGTGAATATAGTGGAGACTGTCCTGGACGCGTTTGGCATCTGTTGCAGAGGCTTTCGGGTTGTTCCCGTCCACTTCGACACCGCCACAAAGTCTTGTCGAAGTCGGAAGCTGTACGAGACGCATGGCGTGACGTTTGTGCATCGGAACTTGGCGTTCTCTTGCAAGGTGGGCAGGCATCTCCCATCGAGAGTACAGTAGCTCAGCAGCTTCTTGTGCTAGGGAATGCATGTACTCGCGTGTGGCAGTAACACCTTGACGACGCCAGAAGGCGAGACACTGTGGCAATGCAAGCCATGCACTGTAGTCCTGCAGCCCTGTCCACATAAAGGCACTTTGCATGCCGTCGAAGAATCCGTGCGAGACTACACGAGGATCGATAGCAGGGCCATTGTCTCTTGCAACGTGTAGGAAGGCAGCGCCGCGTGGTGAGCAGAACCACTTGTGACAGTTGCCAACGTAGTAGTCGGCACCAATGTCGTCGAGATTCAGAGACACGTTCAGCAATCCATGCGCACCGTCCACCAATACGGGGATGCCGTTGCCTCGGGTGTGGCAGCGCTGCACAATCTCCTTCACAGGCATCGTTACAGCCGTGTTGGACGTGATGTGGTCGACCACCACGAGTGTTACTTGGCGTCCAGTGGCTTGTACAGCATCCAGCGCCTTCTGCAATCTTTCTATTACCTTTTGGTCGTCATAAGACTCCTCTAAAGCCAGCGGTTCTTCATGTACATATACTCCACTCCCACCTTCAATCGCTTGCAGCATCTTCCTTACAGCGCCGTACCTTGTGCTGAAGAGCACCACTGTCTTCTCCTTTTCTCCTCTTAACAGCGATGCAAGCACGGAATGCAGTCCGGCAGATGCGTTGGGTAGTAGGACTAAGGTTTCCGGCTTAGAGACGCCAACGAAGCCAGCGAAAGCTTTGATGGCTCGCACGACCAGTGGGAACAGCTCTCGATCATTGAAATTCAGCGGCTGCGCGTCCGCCTGCGCCCTCCAACGGGCTGCAGCCTCAATTGCCACCTTTGTGGGAGCCCCAAATGCACCGTGGTTGAGGTATGTCCACTTTTGGAGGTTCAATGCAAACAGCGAGCGGTTTGAAGCGTCGGCCACCGAATTGGTCTGGAGCTGCAGGCGCTGCGACGCTACATTGGATTCCCATACCACTGGAGGGTCTGATTCCGCATCGTCTTGGCCGAATAAGGAGGAGGTGGACGGCGTGTGAAACGAGCCGGGCGCCTCGTACCCGCTGGAAGATGCGGAGAAGCTGAACATACTGGACGTCGATATTAACCGGCGAATATGGTGCTTCTGGGCAGACGTGCGGCTGCTAATGGGGCTAAACGAGGGGGGAGGTAGAAGGCGAGAAGAGAGGATATGCAGGGAGCCGCAGGCAGGGGCACGCATGGCTGGAGGAAAATCGTAGTTGTGCACGTTGTCAATCTTTCTGGTCGATGATTGGCTGTTTATAAACCACATCAGGAATCTCTATGATTAAGATAACTGTACGAGTATACTGAGTGAATTCTGTATACTGAACGGCCCTGTTCAGTATACTGAACGAACCGGAATGTACGCACAAATTAGATGACGACTACAGTTTTGATAACGATTGGGGTAGATTGTGAAGAAGAAGAAGAAGAAACAAGCACTGAACAAATTTTTAGTCTAAACTCTTTAACAGCCCAAATCAAATACTGTATTATCCATGGTTACCAAGGGTTAGGCGACTCTGAACTCACATATCAGTATATTCAGACTGAATGGGTTACCAAGGGTTAGGCGACTCTGTACTCACATATCAGTCTATTAAAATCTAATATTCGACAAATTGGTCCCTCTCGCTATGCGCACCTGCTTCATCGTGTAAGATTTAAATATTTATACGACAATTTAGGGGTTTGTGTGTAAGAAACCTTTAAGAATGAATGAACCCGCAGGAGATGAATCCTACTCTACCGTAATCAGTTTTTTGTGCTGCAAGTAACGTTTGAAGATATGTATCGGTACTGTATTAATACCCTGATCCTCCCAGATTTAGTAAGAATGAAGGAAACGCATGCGAAAGTAGGATTAGCACACGGATCTGTAGCGCTCAAATTGAGGCTGCAGATTGAGCCTCAATGGGCAGCTGGCGATGAACCAGCAGGATCAAATTGCGTGTTGTTCTCTATTCATAGACAGAGTGGCGACCATGAAAAATAAACAAAAGATAGTAGATCCCATGGTCATGAGCACAAAGTGACTTGAGGTTTCGTCGAAGACCAAGAGGTTTCGATATGTCTGATACATACAGTAGCTGTCCTTGTATTAAACAGTGGTACCAACCTTCGTGCAGTTGTAATAACCAAGGCGATTACTGTACAGTGTAAAATCCCTCTGTTGTGTCTTCGAGCGTGCGGCTGCTCACTTTGCTCACGGTAAAAGGAGCCCAGGCTTTGCCACAAATGTTGTTCGAGTACATTGCATTTGAAAAATTGGTTAATGACATCTCGCTAGGCTTCGTAAAAGAGCTGTTCGGTAAGCTCTCAAGCGAATTTAGACAAGCCCTCTTCCACGGAGCGATTCCGGGCTTGTGGCGTACTGTAGCGGTACAGTACCAACCGATCATGGGCAGACCTTGACCATGTTGATGACGAGACGGAGAATAGCCCGTCGTTGTTTTGCAAATCTGCCTGATAGCGTCAGATTTGCGATGATGTGAGCAGGTCCAGGGGTGGGCCTATAAATACAGCACTGTGCCATAATTTTGGCTGAGGAAAAACTCTCCACGTGGTGATACCGGTAACTCTGTGCGAATAGAAAATGACATTCTTAAACTGTGCGAATAGAAAATGACATTCTTAATGTGAATAGAAAATGACATTCTTAAACTGTGCGAATAGAAAATGACATTCTTAAACTAAGAGTGCGGTCCACAGTTTGCGATCCCTATTTGCCGCGTAAACGTTCTGCCAAACCCTAGGTTTTACCACAAAGCAAAATTTTAAGTTTTTTTTCTCTGCTGGTCAACCAACTGTTGATTATTTCATTACTGGATCTTTTTTTGATTGCGATCATTGTCCAATCATGAGCGTTGAAAGAACCGTCTTTGACCAGGTTTAGGCATTTGACAAACATACAGACCGCGTCATCAACCACAACATTTCGAGGTGTCTACATTCCGTGTCATTCCTAAAAACGAACGCTCGAGCAAAAGAGAAGTCAAAGAAAGCTTCGACTCCATGACACCGATATCACTGCCGTCGCTGCGCCTAGATCCACTGGGCTCCCTGAGTATGCATGCAGCCCGTCTGCCACAGCTTCCGTCAACCAAGACGCTCTCGCCCGAGCGCTTTGACACGCTGCCCACACTCTCAAAGCGGTTGTGCCAGCGCCCCGTAGCCATCCCCCAGAGTCGCCATAGCAGCGCCGCCGTCGCCCCGCAGCAGGCTAAACTTGCGTGGCGCTCGACACTGACGCCTGATCAGGCTGCAGCACTCGCCATCGCGCGTCGAGAAACAGGATACGGATCCTCCGCTGTCCAGAACGCCAGTAACAAGCTCAATGGTACGTCATATGCAGCACCCACCGGCGCATCCGCAGCTGTTTCAGAGGACTGGAAGAAGGCACGCAGGAAAGAGCAGTGCCGTATCAATCAGGCCAACTACAGGAAACGAAAACGCCAGTACGAGCAGAAGGTTTCGGGCGAGATGAGAGCGCTGGAGAAAGATATCGAGCAGCTAGAGACCCACCGCGCAGCAATCTCCAGCAGTGGGCGACCGAACCCTATTCAGGCCGTTGGCGACCTCTACTACGCAGTCGGTGTGGCGGGCGAGCAACAGAAACTTGACCTGCACAACTTCCGTTTGGCAGACGGCAGCTCCCCGGCGTTGCAATGTCTGTTGGACCTCCAGAGAGAGGAGTTCGACTCAGTTGAGTCCCTCAAGCTACACTGGCTCTGGTACCGTGAGCAATTCCGGATCTTCCAGCTCTCTATCGCCTCGTGCGAACGGTTAGAAGCAGGCGAGCACGTGATCATAAAGATCACGGGGCAGCTTCAACTGGACGTCTACTACGAAGCACAGCAGCAGCGGGGACAGGGGAGCCAAGGGTACGGCGCAATTACGTGCCCTTTTATTCAGCAGTTTGAGCTAGAGACAGGCGAGCAGGTTATCACCCGCATCACGTCCGAAGTGGACCTCGTGGCCGGAGTCACAGCCGCCCAGGACCAGAGCGCCCCGAGCTGCACCCTCAGCGTCTTGCGCTGCCTTTCCGAGGGTTTCTCCATGTCGAACCGCTACCACACCTTGTAAAGTCACTGGATAACTCAAGTCAAACCAATTTTTTTTAGCATAACATGTAGACGAGTTGGAAGTTGTACTTACAGTGTATGATGCACGTGTACTGTACTACATTCGAGTGGCTCGTATAGAAAAGAATGCACCAAAGTAGGATACATGTATACTCAACAGTACACGTATGCTTTGAATCTACGGCATGCTTATTAAGACTGTACAGTAGCGACTCGATGAGCGAAGGAACCGTGAGTCCCGACTCGGAAGTCCCAATCTATTCGTGAGCAAAAACTGTTGGGCCCACACTGGAGGTTTAAAAGAAATTGGTTAGTCAAATCGTAGGATCTGAGAAAACCAGCCAGAACTTCTGGCACACGACGCAGCGAGCTGCGAACGGGATTACGAGCAGCACATCCCGACGCCTCCATCTTACCGCAAACATGTTCAGTGGATGGAACATATGTCACAATGACAATGTGCACCCTTTATTAAAGAAAATGTAAAGAAAATGTACTTCGATGTAGTAATACAGTCGTGCACCTCGTATTCGGCGGGGTGGACCATATAGAGTCTACGAGCTGCTAATATTTATAGAGGAGCAGATGGAATTCAAATGTACTACTTTGTATTACCTTAATTAAGTACAAATCTCAAATCTCAAATCCATCTTCGACACAATACCAGTGTGATTCCAACAGTTTCGTATGGTCATTGTCGATACGTCTTGCCAACCTTCTGAGCACCACTTCATCGCTGTATAAATATTGACGGGGGTATACGTCTCGCCTTTGTAAAACAGAGACAGTGTCCATGATGGCTCTGTGGCTGCCTTCCTGCACAATGTTTGCTTATTGGCGAGATTCAACGTAGAATAGGCGGACGGGCGACGTGCCATGGCCTTTTGCGACAAAATTAAAATGAGCTGTTGTATGGTGAAGTGATTGAGCTGATACATCGTGGCGGAAGTGCGGCGTTTCATCCCTCCTTGAGGTTATTTGGTCCAAAGGAGATGGGCAACTCATTTGCGCAATGCATGTGGCCCAATCATTAGATTGTGCAGGTTATTAAGCCATACCGGGGCCGAAAACGAGGTGCACGACTGTACATGTATGAACATTGATCGCCCGTAAAAAAAAGATTGTGGTCCACAGAGGACCCACTGAGTATCCTGAATACTAAAGTTCCCTTGGGCGGGGTTTACAGTGGCGTTTGGTGCTAGTTACTGCGCCTACCGGTATTCGGGCGGATGAGCTCTGAATGGGTTACCAGGGGTTAGGCGACTCTGTACTCACATATCAGTCTATTAAAACCTAATATTCGACAAATTGGTCCCTCTCGCTATGCGCACCTGCTTCATCGTTTAAGATTTGAGTATTTATGGTACGACAATTTAAGGGTTTGTGTGTAAGAAACCTTTTAAAAATGAATGGACCCGCAGGAGATGAATCCTACTCTACCGTAATCAGTTTTTTGTGCTGCAAGTAACGTTTGAAGATACATGTAACTTAGTCCAACTTTTGCTGCACTGGTGGAAAGACAGTCTGATTAAAGACACATGTGACGTTTAAACACTTGATACAGTTTTTACACCGGTAAAAAGTAAAAACTGTATTAACGCGTAATTATCCTTCATTTTGCTAACTTGATTTAATTGAAGTAGCAAAAATGCTCGTAACGGGTCTTCTATTCGGCATCTTACAGTATAAAGAGCTATATGGGTACACTGTACCGTGTCTCTTAAACACCAGTTGTACTTTAGACAGTCTTTTGAGATGTTTATACGCGTATTTATGATCAGACGTATAAACACCCACTGCCATCACTGCTGGTGGCTCCATGACGTCTTTACAGCTACAGATGTGACTCTAAACCTCTGCCGTGAGGCACATCCTGCGACGCGCGTGTGCGCCAAAGTTTCGAAATTTTAAGGTGTGGTGTGAAAAGAAAGGATTCGTGGAATCCTTTTTTTTCACTCCACACTGCTAGTGTAAACGAGCCTACTGTGTGAGAGAGCACAAGCAAAACACAGAAACGTTTCCTAAAACCAGTACAGCACAAATCCCGAAATACGTACCTTTTCTTAAAACCAGTACCAGTACCAAAACACAAATAAAGTGAACCACTTTATTTTTGGTTTGTGCCGGCGTACCATTGTAGTGGACGTACGCTGAGAGCACTGTTGGTACCAGCTAGAACCTGTTCCACTGGAACTTCAAGTCAACGGGCCTGTGCATTGAGTGAGTTGACTAAAATTGCACTGCACCAGTCAACCATGACGGTAATACGTCGTCACCCTTCAGTGTGCTGACGGAATGTGGTGGGAAGGTCATCCCGTACAAGATTGGTGTCGCTCCATACAACGCCTGCACTCGCAACTACTTCGCTGAGACCATGGATATGTCCGTCCAGTTCTTCGACTCGAACGATCGTTGACGAACAACGTCAAGAGTGACAGCTACGGCGACAATTTCGAAAACCTGAAGATAGACTCAATTGGCCATGCCGCTGCCAATGTGGACTCAAACTTTCAAAACGAGGCCTTCACCAATCCCACTTTGCTGAACGTGACGTTAGCAATTTACCGATTCATGTAGAAATAGAGCTGAATATAGTAGTTTCGTGGTGAAGTGCTTTCTCAGAAATTAAAGACTAGATCTGACAAGGAGTCATTATCCCAGATTAGTGATAGCACCCGGTGGTTGGGGGGGGGATCTGGATGGCCCGGCATGGATCCGCGCTGCTCGAAGTGAATTGGGCCAACGTAAAGGGGTATTCTATATGGGTCGACGATGGATCTGACATGGATAACGTACGGGAAGGCAGGATCCACCAAGTGGAGACTCGGATCCATCTCACCCGATTATACCTAGAGGATATGGGATATACCATGTGCGGGTGGATCGAGTGAGGATCCTATGAAGTAAAGACGATAGAGGTCATCTGGATGTGGATCTGGTGTCAATGACAAACGAGAAGACAAGATCCACCGCTATAAGTCTCAGATCCCACTTTGCCAAGTCCAGATCCAAGAAATTGAGGATCCCACACCGAGTGACCTGGATCCAGGATATGGGGATGGTGGATGCAATGGATCTCGAACTTTCGTGAAGTGATGGAGACCGCAGACAGTCGTATGACGATGTTAGAAAATTGGAGAGCTTCTTTCCACGATGAGTGTACACTTGCAGTGAGGTGGATCAAAGTGACCTGGATCCAGAATAGTATGGCGACCTCATTATTATTACGCCATGGATCTGGTGGATCTGATGCTAATACAGCTGGGGTGATGGATCAAGGAGAAAAAGGACAGGCAGCCGAGCCTGGTAGATGATTTAGCAGGTAAGAGACATAGAAGGTAGAAATCCAGGCAGGTACAGGCTAAACTATGAATCAGAACTCAATTTGCACAGTGTTACACAAGTGCCTTCCTGCTCTCAAGAATCAGAACCACATTGGCCGTACGATATCTGTGAAGGCTGGGATTTGCGCATCTAGTGTTGGTAGTGATAACTGGATAATAAATTGGCTAGATCCTACCACCTAGTGAGCTTTCCTTTACACATGCAGATCCGAAAGGCTAACTGGATTTACTACTTGGCCGGCTATACCCTAGTGTCTCCCAGCTGTCAAGGTCCCGCTACAGGACGCGGAAAGTACGACGCAAAGGAAAACAAAGGCAAGGGAACACACCCGCAAGGCAACCCTACGGCCAGATCTCAGATCTAGGCCCTGGATCCACCAAGCTCGAATATTGCAATAGGATCCAGAAACAACTACGGACGCAGAGTGAAGACCTTACCACTACTGCTCCACCCCATCCTCACGTCTCGCCAAGACACTCAAGCTTCACCACTTGAACTCTTCAGAAGTTACCGAGAGAGCAAGATGCCGCCCTACCGACGGGTACGCAAGGTGAGGAAAGTGCAGCAGATCACGGATCATCGCCCCCCCCCTCCGTTAGTCGGTGTCTGGGCGCTGTTGGTAAGTTGGATTCAGCAATCTCGCAGATTTTGCTAATCCCGCTACACCACAGTTTTGTTTCATTTTCAGCGATTTATCGTCAAATAATCTAACAGAATATAATTTTGTGGAGAGGTAGGACGTCTACGCATTCGGCATGGTTTTTTTGGAAATCGATGGGATATATTTTTTGTGTGTTGTTTGTAGATTAAGTTTGATGTTTATTACTCCGGAGTATTAATTAATTAATTATGAAATCTATTGACATGCGACTTGAATTTCCTGTGGGGTTGAGACGTAGAAGGTTCTTCTGCAGGTAATGCCGCCGCAGTGCCCACTTGACAGCTGGATATTATATCACGAAAATTCGGGAGGGATACCGGATGCGGTATCAATTGTCAGTTAGCTAAATCCGAATCATTACTGTGCTTTCTGCACGTCCGTTTGTTAAGGTCAGTTGCACTACATGTTTTACACTTGTAGGTTTTCCCTATACCTTCCTCACCACGACTCGCAATACGTCGGGTAACACGACGCCCGACTTGCTTATAAAAATGTGATGGAAGTACAGTGGTGCTAGCAATGTTGGTGTGGCGAACAGGTAATTCGAGCTCGGCATATCTTTACAGCTCCAATCCGTTTGCCCCTATCACAAAAGAATGCTCGCTCTTTAAGCTCAATTCCAGCATAATGACATTGCTTTAAAAACCAAACACAGTTATCTTCTCCTTCCACGTTTACAAGAGCAGTAGGCAGTGTCACGGTTTTAACCATTTCCATCTCGTCCAATGAGAGATAGTACAACACCACTATATCTTGGATGTTTATTGTGGGCTCCATCAAATCCAAGTATTGGCAAAAGTGCAAATTGTCCAGAAATATTGACTCCAAAAGCTACAAAACCACGTTAGAATCGCTGGTGTTGATCGACAGCTAAATGACATACAGTACCCGGATTTGTGTCACGGCGTTCAGCAAGAAGAAAGGGTAGTCGGCCAAATAAAGAATTCCATTCTGCTTCACCTTGACATGTGACTTCATCTTTGGCTCGATAAAGCTTAAAAATGCAATTTTGAATGTTTGCGAGGTCTCTAGTTTGCACAACTGAAATGCTCTTTTCGTTTAATTCGTCGATTAGCTTGAACGGCTGCTCGAAATGTCGGCAAAAGCTGTATTTGGCGTTGGGTTGTCTTGGCAATCGACGTACAAAAGTCATGGTGAACGTTATTCGGTGTAGA